AAGAAGCCAGTCATTTAAATCACAATTTTAGATAAAAGCAACATACCTGTTTGGTTTCAAAGTTCACAAAACAGTAACCCCTCGGCTGCCCCTCCAGAGCACCAGACTTGTGAAAGAGAAAGTCAAATTGCTTTACTTTGCCAAACTTCTGAAGGAGTTTGAGAAGGTGGTATCTGAAGGGGAGAGAAGACATTTACGAAACCTTTCACCACTCTGAAAACGGGGAGATAGAGAGGAACCCCCCGACACACGCACACATCACAGTCAGCTACGTAAGCAGTTCAGTTGTGTCATATGTGTATTCCCAAACACCCGCAGAGGTGGGTGCTCTGCACAGCAACGCTTCAGCATCCACAGCTCCGAGCTGCTTCATCAGCGACTGCTCTAAAACCCCAAGGCACAAAGCTTCCTTCCCAGCGGTGCCAGCTGAAGGGCATGCAGAAGATCTATTAATAGTTGGCTTTTGGACAATTACGCAACCTTTTGTAGGAGTCTAAGGAGGGCTTTGCCTCTTGCCTCTCTAAATCACACCTACTTTCAAACACAAACACTGCGTCCCCCCCATCCCTAGCCCTGATGTGACCGCCTGAAGCGCCATCCCCTGTGTTCCCCCTCCCTGCACAGGCAGTCCTACCCCGCAGGCCACAGCACGCTGCGTCCCTCAGGATCCCCACTATCCTTCTTGCCCTCTCTCTCCCTGTACAAGCACGGCTGGTCCCATCCCTTCCCCGTGCCAAGCTGTACCAGTGCCCTGACAAGGACATGGCCAGATCATACAGAAATGTAGCCACTCTCCCACTTGCCTGGCAGAGCTGGGGAAGCAGGAGGACAGAAGAAGCAGCAGAACAAACGGCAACCAGGCATTGACAGTAGACCAGGCAAAAAAAGGCACCAGACAGACCTCGTATCATCCAGGCCAAATCTGCCAGTGCTTCTGGCTCAGACAGCTTTTCAGCAACATGCACATGAAAGTCAGACACTTATTTAGCCAATTATCTTCCTGCCATCCAGTGGGGAGTGTGCTGTTTTCAATAAAACTGGGAAAAGCCAGAGTAAATCTGTCTGCTTAGTATCTAGTGCCCTGAGCAACTTAAAATTAGGAGCATATTTGTTGTACATGCCACATCTAATCCCGAAAGTTCTTTGCAGCTTTTTTTTGTTCCCTGGGATCAAAGTGTTTAACACTAGCTGACCTAGAAGGAAAATGACACCTGTTACTATTTCACTGCCTGACCCCATCCCTAAGGTTTAAGAATTGTCTGAGGGTCCAATAAGGGCTTCTTAGACAGGACTCATCTTCTCCTGATCAGCTGTACAGAGTTCGTTAGCAAGCCACGTAGTCTAAGCCCAGTTTTCAGCTTGCGAGATAACACTCTGCGCCCTGAAAGCCTACCAGGATATCTCAACACGCACGTGGACCACCAGGCATTGCATGAAACATTGGATTGCATGTCCAGGCATGAACGACCAGTAGTGGCCCAAGATGGCCAAACGCATCAGGCAACCTTAGGGACAGTCCAAATGGGAAGGGCAGACAACGTTTTTCCTAATAAAGCCCGATAGGATGTTTGAGAAGGGCCATAGCCCTTTGTTAAGCTTCAGAAGCCAGGCAAGAAAGTTCCAGGAATGTGAGTCATCTCACAGGATGGGTCACGGTGGACATTCAGGATGTGCACTTTTAAAGAGGTGAAGGTGCAGCCAGTGTTCAGACGAGCAGCGCAGAAGGGCCAAGTTATCTCCCAGGGGAATAAACACATTGTAATTGATTATGGAAGGCTTCCTACATCCTTTGGAATACAGACGAAGAACTGTGGTCTTCCAAGATGCCTACGAACCCCCTGTCTCGGCTCAGAAGGCAAGGGAGACAGAAAATCAAGAGCAGGAAAAAAAAACCCAGGAGCTGGTTACACAGCAGCCAAGTTTCACCACTGCACCTCAAGCTACCAACAAACACTCACAGATGTACAAGTAAAAACACTAACTTTGGAGACGTGATGTACATATAAAACCCTGTGTGCTGAACTTTCAGAGCCACTGAAATATGTAAACGCACCTCAGGTTTGTTTCTGTAAACATATTGCTACAAAAAGCACTTGCAATTTCAGCAGTATGAAAATAAAGTCCTTACCACTAGAACGCCGTTCCCCTTTTGGCAATTACAGAGGCAGTGGAAGGGCAATGATGATTCTCATTGCATTCTGCAGAGCAACAACGAAACACCTGCATCTATCCTGCCAGAAGGAAGGAACTCTTTGTGGGTTTTTTCTGAGAACCTCAGCATTCAAATAATACTTTCTTAGCAGCAAAGTGGTAGTTGTTCCTTTAAAACAAATTTCATTACGAGTCTAGAAGCAACCCATGTAATCTATTTTATTTAGAATCTTTAGATCGTAGATGATGCAAACACTATTTTCCAACCACGCATGCCATTTTTACAACTGCAGGTCACCTACTCTCCATGGCACAGCTCAGAACTGCAGTCTTGTATAATTCAAAGTTTCAGGCTGTGACTGTGATTTGTTATTGTTAATATAGTGAGGGCATTAACAGTAACTCGACAAGTAGTTCTCCAAGGCAAGAGGACTTCAGTACTGAAGGAAGACCTGTCATGGAAAACCTGAAGACTTAAAAAAAAAAAAAAGTGAGAACATGTAAAAAGCTTTACTATGGCAACAACTTAGGTTATCCAGAGCTTAGAAGTTATTCGCACAGATGTGGCCCCACCGTGCTGTACAGATCACCGCAGCCAACCTCAATTTCCACTTCCTGTCATCTGATATGAATGCGAGACAAACCAGCAGCTCCCCCATTTCCTTTTCCTCCACTCTTCCTCCTGGCACCCCGAGCGCTATTCAAACACAGGCAAGGCTTCCTCTGAACAATGCTGTCCCAAGGATACCGCAAAGGTACCGGGCCACATGCGAAACCTATTATTGCGAAGAATTTTGCCCCACTGGGAGCCAGTAGGAGTCTGTAACAACAACTTATGCACACATTGTTTTCTAGATGAGACTCATCAAGATGGGATCCTAGACACGCAGAAGAACAGCCAAGGAAGCTGAACACCCGCTATTTCATACCTGCGGAAAATGAATGGTCATTCAAAGGCTGCTGGAAATTAGAGAATATCTGTGTGTAGCTGCAGAGCTGGAAATGCAACATTTGGGACAGGCAAAAAGTTTAAAAATCTCAAAAGGCTTTACAAACAGGCATGGGCAGAGGAGGCAGTTCTACTCTGCTTGCCACGTGGGAGACATAACTAAAATATGGGTTTTTTTCCCTGCAGGACGGGAGTACTGAGAGGTGATGCGAACAAACGGTTGTGCCACGACTGGGGGACAAATGCTGCACCAGACGATGCTCAGGGCGATGCTGAGGGGACACCGCAGCTTCCTTGCTCAGTGATACCAAACCCAGAACCGACCGTGTGCTGCCCTCCTCGCGCGCCGCAGCGGCAGGCCCCACAGCAGGGATCATTCAGCACCAGAAGGGCCTGGAGACTATGTCCTATGTCATGAAGAGCTGCCAGGTCCTATGGTGGCAGCTCACCTCCTTCCAGCTGCTAAGAATACACTCGGCAGACTCCTAACACTATCTTCTTCCACAGGCAGACACAATCCCCTAAGGATCCTGGATAAAAGAAGTCACCCAAACAGGTATTACTGGTGAGGAGGAATGCCCACCAGAAGGCCCGCCATACCCCAGTACATAGGGCATGTCAGCATTCAGGATCCTTTGAGACTCCCATTTGAGTCACAGTTACTCAGTACATGCAATAACCTCCTATAAGCCATCAACTTGCAGGCTGTAATTTGTGGGCAGCCCTACATTTATAAATTCCTATTACTGCAGCTTGTGCTCAAATGTGTACGTTACCTATTAACTCCCTAGTGCTTGATTGCAGCTATAGGTTGCTCTCTAAACGGACGTCCTGGATTAATTCAAGACTTTCTGAACTCATTTCTGCTCAAGAAAGTCACAGCCAGTTATTAACCCTGCTAACAACTCGATCAACTTTACTCTGTCTTAAACAAATCTAACATAGAAATTGCAGGGGCAGCCCTTTAAAAATCAGATAAAAGCAGCAAATGAAGAAACAGCTATTTAGTTTTTAGGTGTATGTTTTCAGTCATGTGATTAGCAACATCAACAGGGATAATTCAGACGAGCAACTATGAGCATAGATGTAAGCCCTCAGGATAAGAAAGTAAGGGTCAAGATGATTTATAGAAACTTACTGACCTGACACAGAACAGCACTCTTTCTCTCTACACTGACACTGTGTTAAAAGGAACTTCCTCTTTTTTTATTCGCAAGGAAACAGAGATTACAATATAGTATGCAGGAGAGAACAGCCATTTTTTAATTAAAACCAAGAGCCAGACAGAGAATTACGAAGCCTGAAATAAGCAACAAGCAGTGTCACTCATCACTGGGCAAACTTTAAACATTTAGTAGCATGGAAGCACTCTAGGTTTGATGACGCTGGAGAACGAAGCCCCTTGCCCCTAGCCGTGACGCTGCTCTAGGCACGGTCGCCTGCAGTGAGGGTCCCCAGGCTCAGGCTGCTGAATTCGTGCAGCTGCAATAGGTTATTCGAAAAGGAACAGCGTGCCCATGTAAGAAGCCAACCAAAACCCACAAAACTCATTTCACCCAAGCTATGAAAACAGTAGATTTTGCCATATAAAGCTATTGCTTGTCTGGCCTAGATTCAGAGGAACAACCTAGACTCAAAGGGTCTTTAAAAACACTGCTAATGATCACCCTGGGAAGTGAAGGATCTAATGCGCTTGCAAATACCCACTATTCTTCCCCTCACGCTAACCCAGTTTCCTGAATCTTTAAGGACCCAGCAAACAACATGCTCAAGAACTCCTATATCTAATTTTACGTGGTCAGTGAACATGGACAAACTAGAGTAACGTAGCTGTGGGATAAAAATGGTAATTAATGCAGAAACCACCCAAAGCTGAATGGCTGAAACGCACAATGCATTAATGATTCCATTTAGAGGCTATTAGAAAACTGCTCTGCTAAGATGAACCACATTTAGAATAAAAACCTAGCACCTGCACACACACAAAAAGAAGCAGGAAGAAAAAGTATTCCATGACAGGCATATACAATAGTTAATCAAAAATGCTTGTTTCTTAGAAGTGTATAAACCCCAAATTGTTTTGGTGGTTTTTT